GGGAGCCCGATGCGGGACTCGATCCAGGGACTCCAGGATCATGACCTGAGCCGAAGGCAGTCGCTTAACGAACTGAGCCACCCAGGCGCCCCACATCGTTAGTTTTTGATGTGATCCATTATCCATTGTTTTCATGTAACACTCAGTGCTCCATGCAGTACATGCCCTCCTTAATACCCATCACAGGGCTAACCAATCCCCCCTCCCCTCTCCCCTCCAGAACCCTGTTTGTTTCTGAGTCCATAGTCTCTCATGGTTCATCTCTCCCTCCAATTTACACCCCCCTTCATTTTTCCCTTCCTTCTAATATTGGTAAATAAAATACATCTTTCCTCTTCTCTTGAGCTTTCTAAATATGTTTGACAGTTGAAGCAAAAATGGTAACACTAGGGGCGCCTGGGTGGCTCGGTCATTAAGTGTCTGCCATCGGCTTAGGTCATGATCTCAGGGTCCTGGGATCAAGCCCCACGTCGGGCTCCCAACTCAGTAGGGAGCCTGCTTCTCCCTCTCCCACTGCCCCTGCGTGTGTTCCCTCTCTTGCTCTCCATCAGATGGATGAATAAAATTTAAAAAAAAAAAAAAAATGGTAAGACTATGTGATATGGTTCTACATGTATGCAGAGTAGTATTTAAGGCAATTATAAAGAGAAGAAGGTAAAGGGAAACGAGGAGGTAAGATTTCTATACTTCAAAGTGGTAAAATGTTGACCCCAGCAGACTGTGATAAGTTATGTGCATATAATGTAATACCTATGCAACCACTAAAGAAATCTGTACAAAGAGATACACTCAAAAATACTATAGAGAAACCAAAATGGAATTTTTTTTTAATGTTCAAGCAACCCACAGGAAAGACATAGAAAACAGTAAAAAAAAAAATAGAAATAAAAAACAGCAAAAACCCAAGATAAACCAAAACCAAAAGGTAAAATGGCAGATTTAAGCCCCAGCATATCATTACAGTAAATGCAAATGGCCTAAGGTAAACCAAATATTTGAAAATTGGGATGTTCCTGGATTACAGAAACATAATAGCTTACACTATTATCAAAACTTATGCAATATTTGTATTTGTTTACAAATTAACTAATAGTATTTATTTTAGGGTGCAATTAATTTTGTACCATTTATAATATTGTACCAATGTGTACATGGTATAAATAACTTACATCAGGCTCTCAGCTCAGTCCTGCTTGGCACAGGTAAGCCTTCAGTGGTGGACACCATCATCAGCACAGTAATTATGTGGGCCTTCTTATTATTTGCTTGCTCTGTATGTCAAGTTTCCTCAGGGCTGTCTCAGGTGCCTTACTCATCCACTATGCACACTACACCTGAATGACCTCATCTAAACCCATTGTTTCAATGCCACTCCTACCAGAATCAGCAAAATACTCAGCACACACATTACAAATTCCCTTCAACCAGTCCCCAGGTTTGGTACTCACCTCATTATTCTCTAGGCAGCCACCTTTAAATCAGTTGGAATTTGGAAATGAAATCTTTTCTCTGTTCTAGACAGATACTCATGAGTGCCTATTCTGAGTCCACTAACTTTTCCTGACTTAATTTCACAAACCATTCCAAGGGTCCATCATAAAAGTCCATGCTGAAATCTACTTGAAACTAAGAACATGGAAAGAAAAATTGGAAAAATAGTGATTGGCAAAACAAAGAGATTTATCGTCTTAGAAGGGATTGGCAGAGGCCTTGGAACTACTTTTCTATTTAGAGGAAAAGACCTGAGACAAGCTTCTAAGAACCGAAATGCTCTGGAACAAGCTATCCTAACAGTGAGGGATTTATTGCATATTGTATAACAATCACTGAAGAACATGGAATAATTTTTCCCAAGACAAGCTAGTAAACTATTAATTCTTAAATAATACATTGTATTATTTGTTTTACTACGTTAAGAGGAGGAACTCTCAGTCAGCCTGGTGTAATTGACTCATTTTACAAAAGGAAGCCGGGGTTCACAAGCGGCAGAGGTACACCTAAAATCCATTTCTCCCCCTTCCAAGTCTAAATTTCTGCCATTTAGTTTGTCATTTACACTATTGCATATGCATACTGCTGCGTAGAAATACGTGCAATGCCAACTAATTTTACAAAACTCACATATATCCTTTTATAAAAAATCTAGTGTAAATACTAAAAAAGATAATTGTCTCCATTCTGCACTGAACCAAACCAGCTCTGGAGTGAGATGTCCTATCCCGTCTGTGGTATGAAGAATGACCTGGCAAAGATGCTCACCTACTAATTCCCAGAATTAGAGTATGTTAAATTACATGGAAAATAAGGTTGCTAATCAATTGGCCATGAAATAGTGATTATCCTGGGTTATCCAGGTGGGGCCCTAAGTGTTCTTAGGGTCCTTACATCATGTGGAAGAGGCAGGCAGTACTCAGTGTCAATGACTGTGATATGAGAATCAACCAGCCGCTGCTTTCAAGATGAAAGAAGGCCAAACAAAGCAGGCAAGAAAATAGATTCTCCCAGAAAAGAACTCAGCCCCACCGACGCTTCCCCCTCCCCCAACACATTTTTAACCCAGTGAGATTCCTTCAGACTTCTGAGCTACAAAACTGTAAAATAATAGGTCTGTGTTGTTTTAAGCTACTAAGTTTGCAGGACTTCATTAGAGCAGGTACAGGAAAACTAATACACTTTTTTTTTTTTTAAAGATTTTATTTATTTATTTGACAGAGAGAAACACAGCGAGAGAGGGAACACAAGCAGGGGGAGTGGGAGAGGGAGAAGCAGGCTTCCTGCTGAGCAGAGAGCCCGATGTGGGGCTCGATCCCAGGACGCTGGGATCATGACCTGAGCCAAAGGCAGACGCTTAACAACTGAGCCACCCAGGCGCCCCCTAATACACTTTCCATAGTTGATTTCGTGCTTTCCTGGGGCCTTCAAGAGTTGGAGCCTGCCTATGAAAGTGTCTACCAGAGAGGAATAAAATGATTATTGGTACTAATGCAGGCAACTAAGCAATTTGTTCCTTCATAAAATAAAAGCCCCCTCTCAAAATTCAATTCCAAAAAACATTTATTGAGCCCCTATGAGATGGGACATGGTAAAGAGACAGCCCCACTGTTTATCCTCAGCTGGTACATCTTATGTCTTACTAGTCCTTTCAGTCTCCTCTAATGGAATGGAAGCCTTGTTCAGAAGCTCCGAATCTTCTTGTTAGAGAAGAGTGATGTTCACAACTAATGGAAGATCTGCTTCATTTTCTAAATAAAAAAAAGGGGGAGTTACCAAGAAAAACGAGAGACACTAGTTTTCAAAAGATCAGACCTGTCTTTCCCACTGTCCACTGTGACTTTAGACATGTGAATTTCTTTCAGATATAACTCCTTATTCTTCCTCCCTCTTCTTGTGCCTCAACGGAGATATTTACACACTGTCCAGGTAGCCATTTTACTTCATGAAGAAACCATTTTAGAGGCTTCCAGAAAAGCCAGAGTCGAGGCCAAGTATTAAAACTGGGACCTCCTGATTCAGAGCTCCAAGGCTTTACAGTTTTTAACTAAATTATATGTTCTGTGCATTGGAAAATCTGATGCCTTCTCTTTCACCTCTCCCTTTTTAGATTCCACATATTGAACTGGAACCCATGTCCTAGACAGATTGGAAAAACGGAATCCTGGAATGCCAACTTAATCTTGGAAAACTCTAGGGAGAAGAGTTTATCCTATGCTAGCGTAGTTGCTGAACATCCAGACAGACTTGCAAGATAAACTTCAGAGAGGGAAGAGGTTGCCTTTGAGTTCCATGTGAGCTTTTCTAACTGATCTCAGCATCTGGGAAGTCATCAGTTTGGACTCCTTTCCCAGTGTATGTAAACCAGCACTGAACATGGTATCAAACCCCTGTTAAGAGATCAGCAAGAGAGAAGGAACTTACAGAAAAGTAACGAGATGGACTCGTTGCTTCCCACAGAGGTGCTCGACTCGTCTGCAATTAAGAAATGGTTGGTTATATTCACTTCATAAGGATTGCACGCAGTATGTCTAGCATTCAGGTAAGAGCCTCAAGTAGCTCTGGTAAACGGAGGGCTCCACTAAGTCTGTGGCACCCAAACCTTCTTTCTCCTAACTGCCAAGGCACTCTGCCATGCCTGAAATCCTACCGGTAGAAATGGAATCCAGATGCACTCCATGAAGAGCATCTGGTTGAAGGGGAGGTCTCCACTCACTCAACTGGCATACCTTCATGTGTAAGAACTGTATCCCCTCTACTCCCCCAGAAGCTGAGCAAACATGGCACCTGAGTCAGAAGGGTGTAAACATAGGCAGAGTACCTCCCAGAGTCTTACTTCTTGAGTCTATCCTGGAACACCTCCCAAGGGAAAAAAAAAAATCCCTCAAAGACCGAGAAGAGGCAAAAAAAAGACAAAGATGTTTGGCCTTACTTGGTCTTCTAGTCATGGGCTCTTCTGAATGAGCAGCAGCGACATCTTCTAGAAATAAAGGAGTAAGTTTCTTTTTTTTTTTTTAAAGATTTTATTTATTTATTTACTTGAGAGAGAGAGAGAGAAACAGCATGAGAGCAGAGAGGGTCAGAGGGAGAAACAGGCTCCCTGCTGAGCCGGGAGCCCGATGTGGGACTCGATCCCAGGACTCCGGGATCATGACCCGAGCTGAAGGCAGTCGCTTAACCAACTGAGCCACGCAGGCGCCCTAAAGGAGTAAGTTTCTTAATTTAAAATTTAAAGGTTGGATTTTCTCTTCCTATTAAGAATCAAAGCTTCTCGATATATATTTATGTCAAATCACTATGTTGTACACCTTAAACTTATACAATGTTATATGTCAATTATATCTCTATAAAACAAAAAAGTTAAATAAATGCATTCTATAGAGAAAAAAAATAAAGAGCCTTATTTTATTGGTAATTTCCATAGTCAGAAAGCATCTCTTGATAAGCAGGTATGGGTCCAGTGTATTAGCAGAAATGACCTGATGGATATTGTAGTCAAACATGAGATGCTAATGCCCCATGGGAGGGGGCAGGAGGAGACATCATTAATTCTTCAATCAACCACTACAGTTTAGGTAGTTAGAACACAATACTGAAGTAGAGCTTCCTGTTGCAAATGATGTATATTCCTCGAATAAATGATTTGATTGATCTGACACAAGAGAGAGAGGGAGGAAGTACATAAGCAGGGGGAGTGGGTGAGGGAGAAACATCCATGCAGGGCTCGATTCCAGGACCCTGGGATCTTGACCTGAGCCAAAGGCAGATACTTAACCGACTGAGCCACCCTGGCGTCCCTAGAGAAAGATTTTAAAGCCAGGGAAACTACCCTTTTTTAATAGGCCTTTCCACTAATATACAATTTCTAGATTCCTCCAACTACTACCTACAATACCCCCAATATACTTACAGCAGGGCTGGAAGACAGTAGATCTCAATAAATATTAGCTATTATTTGCAGATATAAGGATCAGATGGTATAGAAATTTGCTTTTGTAGGTAAGACCCGAGGGTCTTTCTTAGCCCAGGCATCCCTTAAAGTATCAGGGTTTATTTTTTCGGGGTAGAAGGCATCAGAATCTTATGGACCCTTGGCTATGTGGAAGATGAAAAAATGAAAGGAGGTGGAGACTTGAAAGTGGGATGGGCAGAGATAGGACCACTGCTTAATTCGTGAAGCTTTTAAATTCCTTTTCTCTTGTTCAGTCTATATTCAAGTAAGATTTACATTTACCATAACCTTCTCTCAAAGAGTTCTCTATGTAAACTGAATTATAATGAACTAGAAAAGAGAAGGAAATTGTTAATCCCTTTTTGGCCACCACATCCTTTGATCCATTGGAGACACCAAGGAGCGCCTCCTCGTTGAGAAGCCCAGAAGGCTGGTCCTGATCAGGTCAGGGCAAACCTCTGAGATGAAGCTATGTTGGCATTCAACCAATTCCAATTTCTGACACTCTGGGAAAATGCTTGAATTTTCCTCAATTATCAGAGAACTTTTGGCAAAATTTACTCTACCTCAAAGCAGCAAAAGTATCCCCAAATGTGTAAGTTACCACAGGAAATTTCTATGCAATAACCTATAATAAACAAGAAGAGAGAGGGAGGGAGGAAGAAATTTCTGCATTTTTCTGAAATTATGAATCCTTACCCATGGCTTTAGTTGTTGCTTCCTCAAGGCTTTGAGTGTTTGATTCCACCTCAGTAGATAATTCTACAAAAAATGGAAGATAGGTATGATCATAAGCTTACATAGGGGAATCAAGTACACTGGAGGAAAAATGCAAAAAATGGGAGCCCACCCATTCCCGCCCAGGCCTCCTCTGAAGCCAAAACCCTCACGTACCGAAAGCTTGTGTGTCCTCAAAATGCACATCCGTGGTCGATTCTACGTCACTAATGGAGACCAGGTCAGCGGTGGACTCCAGGTCGGCGGGGAACTCCGGGGTGGCGGTGGACTCCAGGGCAGCGGGGGACTCCAAGGCGGCGGTGGACTCCAGGGCGGCGGGGGACTCCGGGGCAGCGGGGGACTCCGGGTCAGCGGGGGACTCCGGGTCAGCGGGGGACTCCGGGGCGGCAGGGGACTCCGGGTCAGCGGGGGACTCCGGGTCAGCGGGGGACTCCGGGGCGGCGGTGGACTCCGGGTC